TCGTTTATCAGTGCTCACTTTTAAGGAATTATCCTTAAAAATAGGAATTTTGAAGAGTTTTAAGGATTTTTTTAAGGAATTTAGGTTTTTGAGGATTTTTTTAAGGAATTTCAGAAACATTTTATCTTGGACTAGAAATGTTGGACGGAGGATAACCACGCCACGCAAATGAGATTTAAACTTGAAAGTAACAACATTATACGCACATAATTACATACATTTGTATGTTCTCTATGTCATAAATGACATATGGCTGTCTTTCATTAAAATTCTCAAAAGTTGAATGTCAGTATATGCTGTTTCTTCTGAAATCTACATATTTTCTAAACTCTTCATGCAGCAACGATCAACTGAAATACATCATGTTGAACGTTTTCTTTATCGCATTTAATATGCTAACAATCAAATGTTTTCCGATTTTAGTGCTTAGAAACAAGGTTGAAAAACTGAAAAACAGAAAAAAGAGAAAAAAACACTTTTTGCAACTGTGTGATCAGGCCTTGTAGTAATTTTACCAATTTAAGGAATTTTAAGGAAATCTGAGGAATTTTCGAGCTTTTTCTAAGGAATTCGAAAATTTGATTGTATAGAAAATCTGTCGTTTATGTTTTTTAAAATACACTTGTTGTTTCGGCAACATTTTGTAAAGATTCGTGTGTAAAAACCATAGATATCTATGGTAAAAACGTTTGACATATCTATTTGAACATGCCTCCAAGAAAAGCTAAGAAGTCAGAAGCAAAGAAACTTGTCTCAGACTCCAGATTCAAGTGTTTACCAGTAAAGAAACGCATTTCTATTCGAGAGTTTATCAAGGCAAATGATCTCGAATTTGCAACAGGGAAAGGGTTCTACCAACTGACCAAGCCAGAAACCATTCAGGATAATAAAGAAATTGTCGCGAGAAGAAAATCTGATGGAAAAATTGTAACTGGCGATGAGGTTTGTGAGAAATTTTCCTTTACGTTGCTTACGGTTTATATATCATACAGTACATGCAAATTTTTCAAAAATGTTATCATGGCGTCCCCCCAGCCCTTGAGCCCTTGTTTTAATACAATTAATGAAAGTTAATATTTTTTAAGAACAAGACTCTCTATAGATTATAGAATGTTAAGCCACTGGAACTATATAAATGGGCACATTTACTTTCAGGGGCGTGCCAGGCGGGGTGTGTGGGTGTGTGTGGGGGGGGTGTTACACCCCCCAGTTTTCTCTTAGTTTGTCGGTAAAATCGGAAAATTGAAGGCTTGTCGGTAAACTAGTTAATTCATCGTCGGTAAAATACTAAAATGAGAAGTAACAAAATATTTATTAAAACTGAAGCAATTATTCTGCAATTTCATCTGGTATTTCATTGGTAAATCAAGAATTCAAGATTTCTGCTGGCGATTAAATGCTCGATCATGTCTAACAGAATAATGTTTATTGAGAGATACGTTATTCGATAGTGGTTTTACATTGATATCCTGTGGTCGGTTAAATTGCGTCAGCACGCGCTGCGCTAATCCTGTATTTGCGTAATGTATCTGCCAACAATAATATAATATAATATATAATCCGATAATCGATGCGCGATTTAATAGCATTCACCGGCTCACCGCATTGTGTATTTGTGTAAATTATACAACATCGCATTTCAAAGTCGTTACGGTCGTCGGTTCTTTCGCGCAATTGCTTTTAGCTGAATGAACAAAAATTATATGTATATATTAATTATATATAAGCACTAAAATATAAAGCATAGACAAATAATAAACTAATTTGCACATTTAGAATCAGAATATAATCGCCTTAACTCAACATCTTTCATGTGTAAAAGTACTACGTAATTTATGCTTGTCTAATTCTTGTGTGACAAATTTTGTAAATTAAAAATAAACTTGTACACATAGCGCGTCACATACTATGATGCATACGCGTCGGCTGACTCGCATACAGCACATCTTAGTGATCTTACTCATTTCTGGCATTTTGTTAAAGCGTTTTGAAAAAGCAAACTGTCACGATACGATTGTGTAAACATCTAGTGAATTTGCATTATTTGCGGGTGGGCCAAATGGCCAATGACATGGCACACTGTGGTAAGCACTCCCTTCCATATCGGCGGTATCGCCCACGATTTGCATACCGGTAGTAGATGTAAATTATGTAAAGTCATGGGAAAGGCCCTACTTATCTAGAATATATATAAACGTAGACAAATCATCATACTTTATATGATCTTGGAACGCTACAAAAGTACGAAACGAAACGATGCCTCCAAGAGAACGAAAAAATCGATTTAAAATTAAATGTTTAGAATATGTGGTGTTGAAATGGATTTTGATTACAAGAAAAAGCATAATTCAAAAAAACACCATGATTTGCAGAAACAGCATAAAGCTATTCGCTACGAAGTAGTTGGGGCGCCCAAAAATCTGTTTGACACAGCAGCTCGGAAAGTTGCCGTTGTTTTGACGAAACCGACTGCTGAATTGAGTGCGGACACAGAGACTAAGAACAAAGAAAATACGGACAGTGTGAGCTCAGATGTGAGAACATCAAGAGAAGAAGTACCATCATTCGTGCGTGATGTGCGTGGCCCAGCATTAGAAATATCCATAGAAAAACGAGGTTGGAATAAAATCGAAAACAAACCAGATCAAACAATCCAAGAAGCAAAGAAGCACAAAATAGATAAGGATTCAATAAGTGATGTTCTCGTCGAAACTAACACTCCGGACTTTCCAGAAGATGACATAAGCAGTGCTGCCAGTACATCGTCTCATTCATCATCGAACTTTCAGTTTAATGACCCTATTCAACCCATGCTATCGTTGGTAAGTCATCTTCAATGCACTTTCATAAATTTATGTCTTTAACGTCTTGGACTTTGCAGAATTTTGGAAGAAATGTACAATCAGTGACAAAACAGTTTGGACAAAATACCAAAAGAGCGTACATTTACAACACAATCGACCCCCCGCACCTCCGTTCAATGTTGTGTGTGGAAATACCTGCGCAAAATGTTTCTTGCCAGCCACCCAACATTGTTTGGGGTGGGGGAGGGAGGGATAATCGTTTTATGCTGAACAGAATTTGGAAAGGCGCAGATATGTCTATATTATATCACTGTCCAAAAACCTTTTGTCACTGATTGTAGGCATAGTGTAAATCCTTGTAATTTTATTAGGATGATGGACCTGAACAGTCAACAATAGAAGACCATGAATTAGCGGGCATGTTGGGAGAAATTCTTGATGTGCTAAAAGAGGCCCAAGATTTGCACGAATCGTTCGCGTCTGAAGATTATAGCCAAGATGTATTTATTTCAACTATCGAGAAGTTTGCGTCAGATTTGAAAGAAAAATGTCACTTGTTATTGTCATCGTCAAAAGAAACTTTAACTTGTGAAGAAAACGTTCTGAAGCAAACGTCGGAAAAGTCAGTTGAAGAGGAGTCTTCTATCGTGACAAACGAACGAGCAGAACGTATTGGGGTAAAGCTGAATGAGTCACAAAAGAATTTTCTAATAGCCTTGGGACCTTGTCAGCCGATTCTTGAAAGTTATCCAACGAACCAGACAATCTCTAAATCGAAACAAAATTCGTTTACATCAAA